CCTCTTCTTTATCCATTCATCTGTCGATGGACATCTTGGCTCTTTCCACAGTTTGGCTATTGTGAAGCACATAGCTTTTTTTTTTTAAGATTTTATTTATTTACTAGACAGAAAGAGAGATAGGGAGAGCAGGAACAGAAGCAGGGGGAGTGGGAGAGGGAGAGGCAGGCTCCCCGCTGAGCAGGGAGCCCGATGCAGGGCTCCATCCCAGGACCCTGGGATCATGACCTGAGCTGAAGGCAGACGCTTAATGACTGAGCCACCCAGGTACCCCAAGCACATAGCTTTTTAATTTAGATGAAGTCCCTCAGTCTTCTTTCTTCCTGCTAAGCTCTGTCTAAGACATCATCGCCTAAACCAGGTCATGAAGATGTACAACTGTTTCCTCCTAAAAGCCTTATCATTTTGGTTCTTTTATTTATGTCTATGATCTTTATCTTACCATTGTAACTCCACTTTGAGTTAATTTTTGTGTACGGTGTGAGGTAGGGGTCCAAATTCATTCTTTTCAATCTGGATATTCACTTGTCCCAGCACCATTTCCTGAAAACACTATTTTTCCTATTGAATTATAGTGCCCCCTTTGTAAAAAAAAAAAAAATGGATTAACCATAAATATATGGGTTTATTTTCAGAATCTCAAACACAGTTCATTGATCTGGATGCCTATCCTTCTACCAGTACCACACTGTCCTGGTTATTCTAGTTTCATAGTAAGTTTGAAGTCAAAAAGTGTGAGTTCTACACTTCTGTTCTTCTTCGTCAACATTGTTTCTTTCATTCTGGGTCTCCTGTATTTCCAAATGAATTTTAGACTTGTCATTTTCTGAAAAAAACAAAAACAACAACAACAACAACAATAAAACCCAGCTGGGATTTTGATAAGGATTATGTTGAATCTGTAGATTAATTTCAGGAGCAATGCTATTGTTATAATATTGATCTTCTGATTCATGCACATGGGATGTCTTTGCATTTTTTTAGGTCCTATATTTATTTTAACAATGTTTGGTGGTTTTCAAAGTATAAGTCTTGCACAGTTTTTGTGAAATTTATTTGTAAGTATTTTATCTGAGGTGCTGTTATAAATGGAAGTGGTTTTCCTCCTTTCATTTTAAGCTTGTTTATCACTAGCGTATAGAAACCCAGTGGATTTCCACATGTGGATTTTGTCTCCTGCAACTTTGAAAAAACCTGTTACTAGTCCTAATAATTTCGTAGCGAAATCCTTTGGATTTTTCTATATACAAGATCATGTCATCTATAAATAGAACTAGTTTTACTTTGATGCTTACCTATTTACCCCTTGTTCTGTGTTGATTCCTTCTTGCACATCCACCAGAAAAGCAGGGGTTTCCCACATTTTGTCCAGGCTTTACAGTTCTCTATCCCAGGGAAGGAACTCTGATGGTGACTTGCACTCAGAGTCCTTAAAGGCCTCGTGGGGGGTTGGGACTAACCTGCAGAGCCGGGAGCAGGCCCCAGCCCCTCCGCAGCCCCTCCTGTCCACAGTGCCCTCCTGGAGCCCTCCCAGCCCTGACCAGGACCAGAGCGGGGGCTGGGAGGGAGACACAGAGCAGCAGGTCAAGGGTCCGAGAGCTTGGCTTCTACTCCCCACCTGGAAGCTAAGCGTCCCGGCAGGGATGCCAGCCTGACTTCTGTCCCTGTTGGTTCCCAGAAGACTTTGTCCTCGTTTGGGAGGAAGACCTGAGGCTGGGTCGGCAGCAGGACAGCGCCACCCGGGACAAGACAGACACACACGCGGCCTGGAGGGAGACCTTTCTGGATAACCTCTGTGCAACTGGGCTGCATGTGGACCAGGTACTTAGGGTCAGTGGTGGGCTCTGCGTCTGTTCGGTGACCCATGACCTTCCTGACAAGGCCCAAGGGCATGGGGTCCAGACCCCGGAACAAACCAGGTACCAAAGTCCTGCTGGTGCCCCACCCTCAGCAAGCTCCCTGTGGCCACAGAACCACTGACCACAGGCCAGCACGACACCCACCCTTGGACGCCCAGCTCGCACCTGGGAGCCAGAGCCCTTCAGACCCACCTCCCCATTAGTCTGCGTAGGTGTGTCCAGGTGTAACCCCTGTGATGAGAACTCAGCAGCTAAAGCGGCTGCTTGCCCGGACTGTGTCCTCTGTAACAGCGGCCGCAGGGCGTGTGTGGGTCTGGGCCAGCGGGGGATGTGGCCCTGAGGCCTCGCCGGCCTCGCTGCGTGCCCCACATCCCTCACGTCACCTTGTCCCTGAGGCTTCGCCCCATGTGTCCTTCACCCACCCTTCCCACCACCCTCCGCCAGTCCCTGGGCACAGGCCCTGCCATCAGGTGTCCCCTCCCTGCCCAGAGTAAACCAGTCCTGGATTTGACATTAATCACATTTTCACGTGTCTTTATCATCTTAGCACCGATTTGATGTTGCAAACAATGCAGCTTGGTTTTGTCTGTTTGAACTTGATAGAAAGCGACTGTGCTCAGCACAGTTCTCCCGGGGCCGTGCTTCTGAGATGGTCCTCTGTACGTGGTGCAGCTGCTGTTGGGCCGTCGTCCTTGCTCAGAGGACCCCCCCGTGTGAATGCACCCCTCTTTATGACTGCGTCCTTGCACCCCTTTTACGAATAGATGTGTGCTGTGCTTACCTTCCCCACCCCTGACGCCCCTCCACAGGGCTGGAGCTACAGACAGACATAAACCCAGTGGGATCGGGGGTCAAGAGCCAACACCCCTCTCCTTTGGGTTTGGATCCAGTTGACAGTCTGGTGGGGGGATGAAAAGATGCTTCCCCCCTTTATTATGCAAAAAGCTTTGGGGACAGTGTGGCTCATCGGTGTGGCCACATGAGTTTGCAGAACCTTCATCCAGATGGGAGGGCTCCCCTTTAATGGGGGTCATGGGTGGACTGGCACAGGGGGCATCAGGGGTCAGTCTAGAGGGCAGTTCTCAGCACGCAGCACAACCAGCTGGGGGTGCCCGAAGCGCCAAGCCCACCCTGCCCCAGGCCTGTCTGCTGCAGTGGGCCCCGGACAGGGCCTGGGCGTGCTCATTTAGGGAAGCCAGCTGGCGCGACGCAGCGAGGCCTGACAACCACCAGGTAGAGAGGAGTTTTGGAAACCAGCCTACGTGGGGCAGAGGGGCTGCAAGTCCCTGTCTCAGGCTCCAGGAGCGCCTGCCACACATCTGCACACATGCACACACACACAAGGAGTCATGCCTGCCCACTGACACACGTGTGCACACTTCCACATGTCCACACATAACACGGATGCCCAGTGGCTCGTCAAAGGCCGAGGCCGTCATTCACCATCTGCAGACGAAAGGCTGACTCAAGTGCCTCCTTAAGGCAGGAGAGGGGGCAGGGCGGGACGGCTCTGAGCAAGCAGCCCATGCCCGCATGCTGGTCCCAGAGAGCGTGGCTGGCGCGGGTCCCCGAGGCCTAGCGGTCATCCCGACCCTGTCTGTGGCCGATGGGCTGACCTCCCGACGGCGTGCTCCCTGCCGGCTCAGCGACCGGAGGTGCCATTTATCCGACAGTGTTACCACCGCTGCTGGGGAGCTGTTACCATGGCTAGAGAGGCATCTGCCTTCCCCAGGAGTGTGAATGGACACACACACACACGTGCACCCCCACACACGCCCCTCAGGCTCTCACGGAGCCCTTGGTGCCCGCAGCGCGACGTCCCGGACGAGGAGGGCGCCGTGCATCACACCCTCCTCAGCGCCCCCTGGGCTGTGCTCTGCTGCTACGCGGAGGACCTGCGCCTAAAGCTGCCCCTGCAGGTGCCCAGGGGGGCCCAGGGGGCCCCCACAATGCCAACAACCCCAGAGGCTCCCCACTCAGTGTCCCTGAGGGTCCCTCCCCCCATCTCTGTGCCCCAAGAAGCCTGGCTGGGCAGCCAGGGTGGGCTCAGGGAGTGTGCGCCTTCTCCAGGCCCAGACCACCCCTCCCCCGCCCCGGGGGGAAAGAGGGCGGGGGAGGGGGCACCTTCCAGGTGACCTGAGGATGACCCGCCTGGGGGCCGCTGTGCTGCCCACTCTGCCGGCTCCCTCTGACCCTCGTGGTGTGGGCGTGGACGGAGACGTGGCTGCCCTCTTGTTTCTTCCTGCTGGAGGGGCTCCGGGCCTCGAACTGACCAGCAGAGCAGCCCTGGGGCCTGAGGCCCAGAGAGGGGCAGGGGCTGGCCTGGCCTCCCCCACGGGGTCCACAGCAGGGCGGGGGGCGGCAGGGGAGGGCAGGGGGGCTCCCTCTGCCGGAGCCCTTCACCTGCCGCCTGCTCAGCACACCCGCACACCCCCACCCTGCGGCATGGTGTTGACCTCCGCATCCGCATCCGCTCGCTAGTGGGAGGCGAGTGACGATCCTTTCCAGGAGCTGCCCAACCAGGCCTCCAACTGGTCGGCGGACCTGCTGGCGTGGCTGGGTATCCCCAACATCCTGCAGGAGGACGTGCCTGATGTGCGCCCCGAGTATTAGTCCTGCCAGTCCAAAGTGAGCAAGCCGTCCAGGTGACTGGGACCTCTCCCGGTGCAAGAACCGGCTGAAGGCGTGACCGCGAGGCTCGGGGCCTGAGAGAGACCCACCAGCTCTCTCCCTCCCTGGAGCTTCCAACTGGGGACATGCATCTCAGTGGGCAAGCATGGACTGTATTAGTCGGGGTAGGCAGGGTGAGCTGGGGGACAAACCTCCCCCAAACCTGGCCGACACTCGGGTCTGTGTCCTGCTCAGCTACAGGGCCGCAGCGGGTGGGCGGGGTGTTGGGGCCAGGCGCCTCGCCTCTGAGGCAGAAGCGGAAGGGGGCCCCGTCCATGGGCACGTACAGCCCCAGCTAACCACAGAGCCGCGGCCAGCCTCCGCGCAAGGCTTGTGTCCAGGGCAGGGTGGGGACCCCTGTCGGTGACCAGCACGGAGGACTCCCCGGGGGTCTCACTGCCCAGGCTGAGAACACCTCCTTCCAGGCCTGGGGGAATGCCAGCCTGGGGTACACCTGCCTCTACCTGTGGGACTTCCCAAGACCCTGGGGTCAGTCGTCCGTTCACGCAGGCCACCACCGAGCACCACCCACGAGGCCGTTGATCCCGTGCTCAGAGCCTCAAGGGGCGCGTGGAAGGCTCCCCCCCCGCCCTGCCCTCTGCCACCCTGTGGGGGGGTGCTCTGTGCTGTCTGGAGAACCTACCGTGACCTCCTGCCTCCAGCAAGCAAAAGGCACACACAGGAGTGGATGGTGCTGCCAGGATCCTGGCTGTTCCGCAGGGTGCGGGGCGAGGCCACGAGCATGCGCTCCCCACGCGCCCTCCTGTGTGTGTGCCAGACTCGGCGCTCCACACGCCTCAGCTTCCTCGGGAGTGACAACCAGGACACCTTCTTCCCCAGCACCAAGAGGCACCAAATTGTGAGTGGGGGTCCCCGCGGCGGCCCCGAGCAGGGGACGGAGGCCTCCGTGGACACAGGAAGGCTCTGCTGTGATCAGAGCGCCAAGGCGCCCCTCAGGGCTGGGGGCTGGAGGCCTCCAGGCTGCCCCCCAGCTCACTGCACAGCAGGGGCCCTGCTCAGCACCCCTCCAGGACCCCAGGGCCCAGGTGGGCATGGGTCCTGCTGGCTGGCGGGGAAGGGGACCGAGGGCCAGCGTGGACCCACAGCCCCAGCATCCCCGAGACAGGCCGCTCCAGTGGCCTGCCGGGGGGAAGACGGGAGGACAGGCCGGCCCACGAGAGCCCCCTGCTGACTGCCAAAGGGCACGGGGCCTTGTGGGCTGCCGGGGCAGGGGCAGTGCCCACCCCTGATGCCGGTGCCCAGACGGAGGCTGACTCCCGCCCAGAGGATGGGCTGGGAGCAGGCTGAGCAGGGCCAGGGCCTGGGTTCAGATCCAGACCCGACTCCTGTGAGTCCAGTGGCTCTGACCAGGGTCTCCGCGTGTCTAAAGTGGGATTGTGGTGTGTGGGGGCGGCTACCTGAGCCAGAGCCGGGCCCACACAGTGGGGTCACTGTCAGCAGAGGGCTCAGCCGGGAGGTGAGTGGGCCGAGACGGTCCTGCGCAGCTGTCACATGACAGGTAACTGGCGCCACGCCCACCACCCCCAGCTGTTTGCCATCCTGGCCAAGACCCCATATGGCCACGAGAAGAAGGGCCTGTTCGGGATCGACCAGCTGTTGGCGGAGAGCGTCTTCAGCGCGGCCTTCCCCCTGCACAACGTGAGACCCGAGGGTTGGTTGTTGGGGTGGGGGGCTCTGGCCTGGGTGTGAGGGTGAGCTCCTGGCCGAGGAGGACCCCGGGGCCCTGCCCTCCATGCTTGGCAGCCGTGGTGAGACGGGCGGCCATGCTGGGATCAGCAACACACTTGCCATGGGATCGGGCCACTCAGTGGCCTGTCTGAAGTGGAGGGTGGCCAGGTGCCACCCTTCTTGCCATGTGACAGGCCTGGTGGCTCTCTCCCTGGGCACCTTCCATCTTGGGGAAGACAGTGAGGTCTCCTGTGCCCCTCATGAAGCCAGGTAAACTAGGGCAGTACCGGGGATGGGCATCTGTCAGCCTGACCAGTGTCCTTGACAAAATGTCCACCATGTGGGGCTGGGCCCTCATGCCCAGGACCCGCCATGAGTCCTCAGAGCTGCACAAAGGGGTGGTGAGGCCTGTGGGGCTGGGGCAGGCCTGTACCCACCGCTGTGTGACTGTAGGGACATGGGTGGGAATGCCTGGTGGCCCCCCCACCCGCCAAAAGTGCCATCCTTCTCTGGGAGGCACAACCGGCCCCACCTGCCCTGTGGTTGCTGGGGACCACACAGCTCTGGGGCTGCCCCCGCCGCCTTCCCTGCCCTGGCCTCGGACCCCACTCAGACGCTCCTTCCTCGGAGAGGCCTTCATGGCTCCCTGTCCCCCAACATCACCCTCCCCCGCCACACCTCGGGGAGAGGGCAGTACCCGGCGCCCGGGGCAGCCTGGATCTCCCCACCGGACGGCCCATTTAGGACGCCCCCAGAGGGCCCACAGGCCGTGGGCCTCACCCCGAGGCAGGTCCTATTCCAGCACCAGGCTGGTGCACGTGAAGCAAGTACCAGCCTCTGGACCACGTGCGCAGGTACTTCGGGGAGAAGGTGGCCCTCTACTTCGCCTGGCTCGGTGAGTGTTGCCCCACTGTCCCCTGGACCGCCCGCACCCCCCCAACTCCATCTTGAGGCTGCTAATCTGTGTGCCCCGGAGGGGAGCCATGCTGACACCCCGGGGAAAATGCTTCCCGACTCCCAGCCCGGCCCCGCCCAGCCCCCGCAATAGGCTTGTGGCTCTTCTGGGGCCCTCCTAGCGCCCCAGTGAGGGGCCGGGAGCCCCCTTCTGCTGGTAGGGGCCCCCAGTGTCCCCGGCCCACCAGACATGGCCCATGAGGCCCTGAGCCACTGCAGGAACTCCCGAATGGCGGAGGCTGAATGACAGTCAGCCGCCCTGTCACCCACTGCAGGCAGGCTGGGACCTTCAGAATGACCTTCTGCCCTGGGCAGCCCGGGGCTCCCTGCTCCCCTCACAGGCTCCACCCCCAGGGCAGCACCATCACCTCCCCCCTTCTGAAGTCCTTTGTCACAGCACAGTGCCTTCTGGCCCCGGGCCTGGGCCGTCCTTCCTTCAGGCATGCTCAGATGGCAAGCCATGTTGGGGTGCTGCGCACTTGCAGGGACCCTGCCCTCATGAGTGCACCAGCCGTGGGGGGGACACAGGAGAGGCCCCCACAGCCACTGTGGACCCAGATAGGGCAGGGGCAGCCTGTGTGTGAGGACCCTGAGGCTCCATCTCGGGGCCAGGAGAAGCAGAGGCCATGGGACAGCGAAGCCAGGCTGGAAGGCTGCAGAGGGCAGGAAGACAGGCTCTTCCTCTGGCTTCCAGACCAGGCGTCACTCTGGCTGATGCAGGGTGGGACTGGAGGCGGGACCCCAGGCCACGGGCTGGGCTAGACCCATGGGAGGCAGTGGGGTGTCCGCTGGAGGGATTGCGGTAACTGAGGGACCTGGCCATGGTGGGGTGGGTGCAGGTGGAAAGGAAGCATCCAGAATGGGACCCCCATCTGTCTCCCAGGTTGGAATGCCAAGGGCTGTGAGCCTCCCGCAGACGGGACGTCCATCCTGGGCGTGGTGGTTTGAGGCAAATGGGACTTAGGAAAGGGATGTCCAGGAGCCCCAGGGGGTCAATGGTAGGGGGTCCAGAGGCCAGGGCAGAGGCCAGGAGGGAGGAGCTGGGCTCAGAGCTGCCAGGGGACACTCCTGAGCACCGTGCCTTGCCGGCTTCCTCCCAGAAGGTCTCAGGTTCTGCTGGCTGGATGGGGGTACCCGAGGGACAAGCGTGGCTGAGCAGCCCCCCGCCCAGTGCTTAGCTCAGTGCTGGCTACACAGGCCCACAGGGCACTGACAGCCGACTCCCAGGATCCCTCCACCCGGCCTGATGGCCAACCTTGGTGCTGCCCCTGCAGGGTTCTACACAGGCTGGCTCCTGCCGGCAGCGACGGTGGGCGCTCTGGTGTTCCTGGTGGGCTGCTTCATGGTGTTCTCAGACATACCCACGTAAGTGTCCTCTCCTCTCAGCTCCCAGGACTTGCCCTGTGTCTCCCGAGGGCGGTGTGTGGTTGGGGGACCCACAGGTGCCAGGCCCTGTACAGAGCTGGGGATGGAGGTGAGCCCTAAACACATCCCTGCCCTCCTGTAGACCTGTGGACAGGTAGGCTCCCAAAGCTGATGCAGGTGGACAGGTGTGCCCCCAAAGCTGATGCAGGTGGACAGGTAGGCTCCCAGGCTCACACAGGTGGACAGGTGTGCCCCCAAAGCTGACGCAGGTGGACAGGTAGGCTCCCAGGCTCACACAG